ACATGATCTACTCGACCACCATTATGGTTACCGCCAAAAAAAACAGAGGTAAAAATAAAACGGTAACCTGGTTTCCGAGTTCACGAAGTGAATTGGCTTGTTTTACAACGTCGTTGCCAAGCGACGAAAACCCAATCCCGATGGCAAACACCGGGGGGGGGTGGTATCCTGTGTCATATCACCTAAGGCAAACTTCTCCTTTTGTGCATACTGGCTGTAAAACAATCGGAAGATTGAGCTACAGGGGCTGGGTAGGGTCACGTATGCACTCATATCACGAATGACAGGAGAGCCATCGTATTCATAACTGAAGCATTGGCAATCACTGCCGGCTTGTACAAAAAGCAATAGAGCAAGGCTCAACATCTATTGCTGTGTGTACGGTGCTCCACCTGAGGTCTGAGGTTGGATTCCAAAATTTCTGCTGTGCACACATACGTAAGAGAGTCTCACTTGTCGTACTGCTGTAGTAGGTTTCATGTCTAAAATTCCACCAGCGTGATTGCTAGCTCTATCTTAAACATCCGGTAGATACCTACCAAAAGCATTTCATGGAGCCGGTGGGTACGAGTATGGAGCGCTTTGGAGCATGGCATCCGCACAACCACAGGCGATACAGAAGGTAAGGTAAGGTGAATGTATTTCGGAGGAGGCCTTGACAATCGAAAGGCCCAGAGGTAAGTACAAGCAGCATGCGTGTTGCTGCAAGATGCACGTGGTAAGACGCGAGAACCAGCAACATAAACCACATAGGGACCGACGTTCAACCACAGCCAAGCGCACACTTCCTGCTGGTTCTCCCAGCTCCTGCTGTCTGCAGACAGACTCACCTCGTCCACAATTTCCACAGGCTGAAATCGCCTCCTCTGCGACTCCCGAATCAGGTCGGGTTCCCGCCGAAACATGTTGATATCGAGAGGCATGGTGGCTCTCTATCCCTTTGACCAGCTTCACTGGTTGGGCAGCAGGCAACAATGCACAGGGACGGGCACGGAGCTCACAGCAGTGCAGTGGGGACACCAGCAGCACAAGGGCAGAGAAAACAGGAAACATGGGGGTGTACGCTGAACTGGTTGATGCTTGGTACGGAGGTGTAATAACGATCTATATACAATCTGCGTCTCCCCTTGTCCAGGCGTGCAGCTTGGGCCATGATCTATCAATCACGTGCACTGCTCTCTCAGCTCTCTAGATACACGCAGTATTTTCACCATGGATGGGCAGGCTTCAGCAGAGCAGCAGCAGGCCATCATCCAGCAGGTGAGTCGTGTGCCTTCAAGTTGTCGGTGTACTGCTGTACCGTGAGTTTCAAGTTATGGGGTTACGCGGCCTTGTGGACACAAACACCCCGCCTACGGAGCTCCCATGATAGCCCGTGTCTGCTCTCCTCTCGAAAGCAACAGGCAAATCAAGTGCGCTCCAAGGGCAGACACATGTGAACCTTTATGGCGCATATGGACGTCGTAAGTTCGGCCTCTGCTGCGCACAGAACTTCATTCGAAGCCGACGTTTTGGGCCTCTCGCAACCTCTCGCATCACGAAGCCATCGCCTTCTTGCAATAGCGCCGCATTTTCTCTGGAAAAATCGTCGGTGTCTCCTCTGTCGTTCTGTCGGTGTGGGGTAACTTGTGGAGACGTGAGATACAGCTGTTCTGCTGTTCTGTTCTGGGTAAGCAAGAGCAAGACGAATATAATTGGAGGGGATGATTTTTTAACACTTGAAGGCGCTGGTTTGGCAGCTTCTCGGACCGCGCCGGCACTCAACGAGCAATGACAATGCCGGAGTAGGGCCACAGAATGCACTTACGCACCCTCAACATGCTTGTAGTCCTGTCAGACACATTCAGCAGCACGAGTGTTTCACCGTCAAGGAGAGCTCTGGGTACTGCTGATGCCGCATTGGCCAGTGCTCTGGTCTCGCGGCGAGGCTGGGGACTCCGTGCTTAGATTCAAAGCACGCCGCAGACCTGACTGCCGGCCGGTGTCGTTTGATTGGTGACATGTGAGCCCAAACACACAAGACACACCAGTACAGCAGGAGAGTCACCTACAGTCGAAGGAAAGTGGTTTGTGGCTGGCACCATGACCCTTTTCTCGCTGGGCGGCGGCGGTGCCGGATGCTCGCACTCCATGCAAGATCTGGGACGGCTGCATCCCATTGATAGGAATCACAGTCTTCCGGGTGGGCAACACCGATGCAAAGGGCGTGAAGTCGTACAAAGCCGGTGCTTCCAGGAGCTCCACGACACGGACGAGGCGACTGCCGGTCGGTAGCTTTCCGCGAGATGGTGTGCGCGGCCAGAGTTACGTGTCGGAGGTTGACAAGATGACGCAGATAAGACTCCCCAGCTACATGAGGCATCCTGTCGTCCATCCGACTCACGACTCTGGCCTTACAGACCATCACACCTGAACCCACCGTCAGTTGCCTCCTCCACGCCTAGGAGCTTCTGGAAGCACAGGTTATTGTGTACGAATTCGCCACACCCTTTGCACTTGTCTTAGCCACCGAGGAGACATCGCGATTGCTACAAGCCGTTCGACATGTTGCATGGAGTGCGAATATCGGCTCCCACCCCAGCAGCGCCACCGGCCTTTGAGAGACGGCCCGTGGTGCTACAGCAGTAGTGGTTTCGTGACCTCACCTGTCACCAAACAATCGACACCGGGCGAGAGTCGGGTCTGCGGCGTGCTTTGAATTGTTGCACGGACTCGCCAATCTCGCCGCAGTACGAGAGCACTGACAAACGCAGCAGTAGCAGTACCCAGAGTTCTCCTTGACGGCGAGATACTCATTACTCGGAAAGAGTTTGTAGCACTTTTAATGGAGCATGTGGAGGGTGCGTAAGAATGTTCTGCGGCGCTACTCCGGCGTTGTCGTCGCTAGCTGAGTGATGGCACCGTCTCCGCAGCTACCGACCCAGCTTCTCCAATTTTTGAACAACTCTCGTCAATTCTTCTTGGCTTTTGAATGCTCAGAACAACGTGTTCCCAAGCGATTCTCAGAAATTGCGGCTCTACTAGGAGAATCCCTTTGGAGTAGGATGGAACAAAGGCTCAATCAGCACGTTCTTCATGACGTACCCACATTCTCCGATCCCCCCTATTGAAAGACATATGAAAACTCTTAAGCATGGAAAACACAACTACGGCCCGCTCACTCTGGTACCGGTTCCCGCACTACTGTTGTGGAAAGAAATTACGCATGCACGAGCTCAGTCACTTTTTTGCGATCGTGGTTGTAGTGTTTCGATGCACTGAGAGCACCACTTTTGAACCAGCCGCCGTGCAAATCGCGATATTTTTCGGCAACGAAAAGAGCGCGTACATATTTTGTAGATGCTCCTGGTTACCTAGCGTACCTCGTATTCCCGTGGTTTCCAATGAACCGTCTGTTGAGAGGCAATGTCGTGACTATGCTTTCCTACCTTTGTCCCCGTCGTCTCTGTCACTGACCAACTGCTCAAAAGCTTCAAGAGCAAGTCCAGGCGAAAGCCCTGCAGGAGCTCATGACGCAGATGACCGACCAGTGCTTCAACCGATGTGCCAAGACTTCGAGTGGGGACCGCATTAACTCGTCCGAGCAAGGCTGCTTGGCCATGTGCATGGACAGGTGTGTGAGTGTGTGTGTCGATGTGTCATTTCACAAGGTCGTGCGACGGTGGGCGCGTGTCAGTTGTACTGCATTTTCGATCTGCTTCGTGCTCGGTCTTGAGTATCAGCTGTATTTCCAGGGTGGGCGTAGCTGGTAGCCCGGGGCGTCCTTGTTTGAGATCTGACGTTTCCCGGACATGGTGCCGTCCACAAGCGAGTCCATCCCCATGTACCTCCCTACCCACCTCCGTCTTTTTCTTATTCGCCAGGTATATGGATACGATGGGGTTGGTAAACAAGGCAATGGTCGCAAAGGCGAACAGGTGACCTGGACCGACCGTGGATGATGCATGGTCAATGATGGGCAACAGCAGAAGAGGACGGATACAGTTCCTCAGCGCCGAGTAAGGCATGACTGCATCAACTCGCCTGCTTATTGCGGGCGAGAGGTCCGGCACAGCAGCTACTCCTGCTGTGCTTCTGGTGTTGAGGGCTTTTCCTTTTGGCAAGACTCGCCTACGCGGTGGTTCTTGAGTAGACAACGACCCATCCTTTGGTGGGGGCGTTGGCACGTCCGCTTCATTCTTTCATGTACAACCGGTGATTTAAGCTAGAACATAAATTACGTGGGGGTTGCTGCGTATTGTTAGGGTGAGTGCAATGGATGTGCCGAGAGTTAAGTTTTTGCTTGAAGAATCTGCCGAAGGGATGCTTGCGGCTCGTCTGATTCACCTGGTTGATTTGCGATGTTTTAACGAATGGTGCGTGGAGAGTTGCATGCTTGTAAGGCCGCCTGTGCTGATTCGTTGCAGTGCCTAGACGCCAAGTGAGAGGTTCGAGCAGCCCATGCAGAAATGAATGAGATGTTGTTGCCAGCGTGATGGCCTGAAACGTCCGTGTTGTAGATGGGCTCCTCTTTTTTGCCAATGGCAGGTCCTCGTGAGACTATTGGACTCGTAGACTTTGTTCCTGTGAGCACCTATTACTACCACCACACACGAGCAAATGAGTACATATGATATGTCGTTGTTTGTTGTTGTTCTTGTTGTCTTCACATGAAAAACCGTTCCGATCTCTCCCTAGCACCAGTACCTTCGGATGTCCGTACTGATCCAACACTCGACGCGGTCGATTCCCGTGGTCACAGGTTAACTTACCCTGAAAAGGTACACTCAAATAAAATGGCCCCGAGGGATACGCAAGTAAAAAAAAATCAACGACAGATATCCTGAAGTCGTCCACTCCCTCTGCGCGCTATGCGAGGTAACAACTGAGACTCGGAGTCACCATCACGGGCCAGGGAGAAAGAGGTACACCCCCGTGGTTCAATCTTGGTACTTGACGCAAACGCAGAGACAAGGCCATCTGGCACAGAAAAGAGAGAAAAAGAGAGAAAACAGAGACAAAAAGAAAAAGAAAAGGAAGCCGGAAGGAAAGAGAAATAAAATGAAATGAGCGAGGACAACAAGGGACCAGGCCGAAAATAACAAGAAACAAGAGACAGAAAAAGGCACACGGTGGAGAGACCACTAACGAACAAGCAAACACGCAAACATGGCCACCAATCAGCGGAAATGGTACGTCATCACTAGTGGGGGGTTGGTGCAATGGTGCAGCGTTGGGGGGGGGGGAATGGCCAAACGAAATTCAATCCGGCACGTATCGCGCGACTCGGTCCGTCGCTTCTCGTTTGCGTTCTTCCCTCGCCGCCTCGTCCGTCTCTTGCCCCCCTCGCGCCCCATTGGTTGTTGGCTTGTGGTGTCGTTTGCGCGCTCGTTATCGGCTGGCCTCTTCTTCCTTCTCGTGCCAGGAGGTCATGAACCTCTCAGCTCCCTGCAGCACCGCCGCATGCCAGGGTCCTTCCCCCTCCACCTTCGCGGCTTCCGTCCACTCTAACTTCGGCGTGTCGTTCGGTATCGGGATGCCAACATGGATCGGTTTTCGTAGATCCGTGGTCAGCCCCGAATGCCTCCAGGTCGTCGAGCACATACTTCGGCCAGTTCTGTTCCTGTCCCTCCCCTCCGTCGCTTCTCCCCCACCGCCACTTCATCGAGCATCAGCCGTTTCGGGAGTCGCCCGTCCGGCTGCCTTGCCAATGATCCCGCGAACAGTAGGCGTCTTTGTCGGATTGCGGCTTTAACGCTCTGGCATTCGACCCTCTTCAGCGTCTGGGCGTAAGCGAGCTGCCGGTAGGTTTCTTTCTTGCGCTTGTACCCGATCACTCGAAGGAGCAGTCGGTGGTGCATCGACCGCAGCGTCTGATAGTGGCCGCTGAGTGGTGACCATGTCATGCAACCGTACAGCAGTGCCTCCATCGCCTCCGCCTGGAGCAGGCGGATCTTGAGTCGGAATGGCCCTTTCGGTCTATCGAAGAGCCCCCGGCCATACCGCCTGAGGCACGCCCACGCTCCTCTGCTCCTGTAGTTGATCTTCCGGGTGAGGTCGCCATGTTCGTTGACGAGGCCACCGAGGTACCGGAACTCGGTAGTCTGGGCGTATTTCTGTCCTGCGGCTTCGATGGTCAGCGGTGGAGGCGGGGGCGGCTGTGATGTTGTAGTCGGCTTGTCCTTCTCGCGCATCAGGAGCGTGTCCGTCTTCTTCTCCGACACCGTCAGCCCGAACTCTCCGAACTNAGCACACCAGGCTCCGCAGAACAACATCATCCTCGCTGAATCGGATGACACCGGTCTCGAGGACCTCGGCGACGAAGATGTTGAACAGCAGCACACATCCTTGTCGCACGCCCGATAGTACAGCCCGATAGTTCTCCGCCGTCCATGCGCACCCGGGCCCGCATTCCATCGTGGAATTGGCGGATGACTTCGATCAGCTTCGCTGGAATCCCGGCCCTGACCAGCACCTTCCATAGCATCTGTCGGTCCACCGAATCATACGCCTTGTTCNACCTCGAGGACCTCGGCGAAGAAGATGTTGAACAGCAGTGGGGATAGCACACATCCTTGTCGCACGCCCTGTGTCACGAAGAACCAGTCCGATAGTTCTCCGTCGTCCATGCGCACCCGGGCCCGCATTCCATCGTGGAATTGGCGGATGACTTCGATCAGCTTCGCTGGAATCCCGGCCCTGACCAGCACCTTCCATAGCATCTGTCGGTCCACCGAATCATACGCCTTGTTCAAGTCGACGAAGCACATGTAGAGCGGTCTTTCCTTTCTCCGCCCCAGCTCCTGGAGGCGGCGCACGACGAACAGCATGTCGACGGTGGATCGAAGGGGTCGAAATTCGCACAGTTCCTCCGGGAGGATGCTGTTGGCTTCGCAGAAGGCGCTTAGACGGTTGGTGATGATCTTGATGGGGACCTTGCCNCCAGCTCCTGGAGGCGGCGCACGACGAACAGCATGTCGACGGTGGGTCGCCCGGGTCGAAATCCGCACTGTTCCTCCGGGAGGATGCTGTTGGCTTCGCAGAAGGCGCTTAGACGGTTGGTGATGATCTTGATGGGGACCTTGCCTACGTGAGATAGTAGCGAAATCCCCCTGTAGTTGTTACAGTTGGACCGGTCACACTTCTTGTACAGCAGTACAGCACCTTGATGGTTGCATCCTTCCAGTCGCGCGGAATATCTCCTCCGTTCCACACCTTGACGAGGATGGTATGGAGGTGTCCCAGGACGGAGGGTTCGTCGCCATCGATCTTGAGCAACTCGGCAGGGAGGGAGTCATGGCCGGGTGCCTTCCAGTTCTTGAGGCCTTTCGTTGCCCATGCCACCTCCTCGAGTTCAGGCACCTCTCCCAACCGTTGAGTGTCACGTGCCGCTGGCCGCTGCGTCACTCGCTCGATGATGTGTGGGTTCAGTTTGGGGGATTTGGTGTTGAGTAGGGTGCTGAAGAATCTCGCCCACCGCTGGAGGATGTCGTCCCTGTTCCGGAGCAACACGCCGTTCTCATCCGCGACGAACTGCTGTCCCCCCGCTTGTCTCCCACTGAGGCCCAATGATCTCTTGAGGTGTTGGTACAGTCCTCGCATGTCGGGATCTTTGTAGATTTCTTCGAGCTCAGTCACATTTCCGTCCAGGTGGGCATAAATACCCGTTTCGACTGCTGTAGCAACTCCCTTACACGCTGCTTGGAGAAACCTCCATGTTGCTGAGTTCCAGTTGCCCCTCATCGCCCGGCGCGCTTCCCGCCGTTTGATAAGGGCCTGCTCCAGCGCTGCTCTTGTCTCTGGGGTCTCACACCACTCCTGCGTGCGGCGTCTCCGCGGTTCCTCCTCCAGGATCATCCGCGCTGCTTCTAGGAGAGCATTGGTAAAGTCGGTCGCCAATTCCGCGGCGGCGGTGGTTGTTCGCTCGTCCAGTCGTGTGTCGAGGTTGAGAAGGAACCGACTAGTCACCGCACACCGTGCTGCTTCGAACTGCAATTCCCGTCGGTTGAATTGCTTCTGTTTCGGTGTTGTCCGGACTGCACGGTTGTGGGCAAGCCTGCCACCGAGGTTGACGGTGGCTACTACCATATTGTGGTCTGAGTCTGCTTTGACTGGGCGAACCGGCTGTGGCATGACAACCACGTCAGATACTCGGCCGTGATGTGCCTGCGTTGTGCCACCCCTTAATTGTAGGAGTCCGAGACACAGGCAATCTTCATGATCATTGGGGAACTGCTGTGATGAGGTCAAGGTCTCTTGCTGATGTAGTCTAGACATACCAAGGGACTAGAGGAAACAAAAGCGATACTTTCGCCTATAGGGACATGGCAAAAGCGCTAGCTTCTTTCAGATCGGCCGATCAGTAAGAAACGGGGCTTAGGACGACCAGGTCCCGTGGGTCCAAAAACACCTCCGCCCCCCCCCATATCACAGATATCACCGGGATCTTCGTTTTGCGAATCGAACGGCGAACTGGGCGTGACTGCCCTCGATCCAGGGGTTACCTACTGTGGTGGTAAGCACAAGCACAAGGGGTGAGGCTCGGCAACAGCGCACTGAACCAGAACGGATGGTTTCGCTGTTGTCGGCCGTCTAAAGCGGGCTGCTTTGTGCAGACTTGGTGGCCGCACATTCTTGGGACACAACATACCACTTTTGCCTCCACCAAAACATCCGTAAGTCGGCTCCGTGGCGATACTTTGGTATAGTATGCATATGCTTCTTCGCTTGCGGGTACGTTTGACGACCCAGCTCATGGTGCACGCAGTCATGTAGCGAAGGAAGCATAACCTAGCGCCTCCACACCGGGAAGTTCGCGGTGGAGGGGATAGAAGAATACCTCCCCGGTTTTCATCGAAAACGTGTTGGTTCTCACCTTTCGGGAACGCGGCCTGCGACAGGGCGACAGCAGTGCCGACAGAGAGACAACCAGAGGCAAGGAGCAGCAGAGAGCTAAGAGGTGCTTGGTGTGTGCATGATCCATGGCCAGAAAGGAAGCGAGTGGGGACGACCGTGATGGGGCAGATACGGCGGCCATGGTGAGTTCGCAATAAGGTGTGTTGGCAGCTGCTACTCTCATTCTGCTCAGATAGTCGTCGTGTACTCTGAAGTAGTTTCGAGATTTTCGTGGTGTGGCCGGCTACAGCGGGGGAGTCGCAGCAGCTACGATAGCCAACAGCAGTGCACGCACAGCACTAAAGTCACAGGCAGTACAAAACCGAGCGAGAGTGTGGTGCCTGCCACCCGCCAGGGTACGCCTCCGCCAATTCTGAAACCTTTCTGTCCCAGTTGATTGGTCATTTGGGGCCGTTGCTGTTGCTGTACCGGGTGTCAAGGAATGCCCCTGGTCACTTGCTTCCTGTAGTCTAGCCTTATCAACTGCGATAACAGCAACATCTGCATGTGACGCTCCATAGCTCAAACGTGCACCTGCAGGACTACATCGCCAAGCCACGTGTCTCTCTGCCTCATGCAGGAAAAGGCACTAGCAAACATCCCGCCACCGTGCAGCATTTTGTGAGGTTCCACCGGGTACTGCTGTACAGATGGCGCCCGCACTCAAGACTCTAGTTTCGGCCGAGGCTGGGGGGGGGTTGTACTCATAGTCGTGCATGCCGTAGTCGTTAGACCATTGACCTCGCATCCCTATAAAGCCGGGATGGAGCACGCCGGGTTCTCACCGGACCAGGCTCTCACATCACCAAGCGCGAGGCGCCGTGAGGTATTCGGCAAGTCGCATGAAGGGTACGCGCTGTAAGGGTGTTCGGCATCTTGTGCTTTCTTCCTTGCATACGGATGACAGCTGCGCACGACTTAATTTTTTCTGGTACTTCACTTCCAGAGACAGTTGTGAGATCTGTGTTGCTGCCTCGAGGGTGCTTGACCATTTAATCACGACGTGGTGCGATCATCCCCCTTGCGCGGAGTGAGGGTGCTCGACCCCGCACAGCATGATCTACTCGACCACCATAATGGTTACCGCCAACAAAAAAAACAGAGGTAAAAATAAAACGGTATCGTGGTTTCCGAGTTGACGAAGTGAATTGGCTTGTTTTACAACGTCGTTGCCAAGCGACGAAA